TTCTTATTTTTGTTTTTTTTGGAAAATCTTGGCTACAAAAGCTTCTTTTTTAATTTTTTTTGGCATTTTGTTTTCTCTTTAAGAAGAAAAAAATAAACAATAATATTAGATGTAATGAAGTACATATTTTGTTTTGACAATACGATATTACACACTAATTTAATTATGGGTAAATTACATTTTCATACCTTAGGTTTGGGGCCTATTTCAATTCCTCACAACATCTTTAAAACATTTTACTTTCATACCTTAAGTACTATTTTATTTCAAAATAATACATCCGTTACATTTTCCATCCATTGATCCGTTAAATGCTGACGTAACTGCCACATATATGCCACATGGCAAAAAAAATAATTTTTAATTTTTTTTAATAAACATAAATCTTCTAAATATTAAAAAAAAAAAAAAAAAAACTAAAACCGTATCCCCCTCATCCTCCTCTCTTCTCCCCGCAACCCCCAAACCCATCTCCCCATCTTCATTTTCTTCCCTGCAACCCAGAAAAAAAAAAAAAAAAAAAAAAAAAAAAAAAAAGAGTTAGAAAACTAGATCCCATCACCCTACCCCCCCTCCCGCTGAAAACAACCCCCCCCCCCAATACGTAAACCTTCAACTGAAAAAACAAAAAAAAAAAAAAGAAAGCCCAGATCCCGTCAAACCCCCTCCCCTCGCGGTGTCGAAGCCTCATCATCTTCCATCCGTCGTTCGCACCCAATGTAACCCGCCAAGCGCCACGAAGTGAACCGAATCCAAATTCGGGTTCAAATTCGAGAGAAACAGAGAATTCTCATGCCCAAAACCAAGTCGACCGAAGTCGCATTTACCCCAAATCCAAAGCTTACCATCCACGAACAGCGATGAGTGGAACAACCCACTAGAAATACCCACCTCCACAGTACCGTTGTCGGCATTGTTCTTTTAATTCGAGCAATTGGGTGCTTGAATTCGGCCCTGGGTTGGTGCAAGAGTGAAGGATGAGGTGGGAACGACGAGGTTGGCGACTGGAGTTAGGTAGAGCTGGATTTCTTCGATGTTGTCGCCGAGCTGGCCGGAGGCGCCTCTACCCCATGAGAGGAGTTGGAGGGTTGTGGTGGGGACGTCATCGTTTTGGGTGGTGGTGGGGGCGGCGGTGGGTTCGTAAAGGTTGGGGATTTTGGAGATGGTGCTGGTGGAGAAGGGCGAGGAGGAGAGGCGGCAATTGAGGTATGCGAAAGAGCGGTGGTGCCGTGGCGGAGAGACAGATGGACACTCATGTTTACTGCTTTGTTCTCTTAATTGAAAATGGAGGTTTGTTTTTAGTTTTTTTTTTTTTTTTTTAGAAGATTCAGGTTTTTTTTTTTAATTAAAAAATTATTTTTTTTGCCATGTGGCAGCCACATGGCATATATGTGGCAGCCACATGGCATATATGTGGCAGCCACGTCAACACTTAACGGATCAATGGATGGAAAATGTAACGAAGGTATTATTTTGAAATAAAATAGTACTTAGGATATGAAAGTGAAATGTTTTGAATATGTTGTAAGGAATTGAAATAGCTCCCAAACCTGAGGTATGAAAATGTAATTTATCCTTTAATTATACTGAAAATATGACTTTAGCCTATAAAACTTAATTTTCTCTGCATAAAACCCAAAATAAGTTTTTTTTCTTGAATAAAACTCATTGACTAGATTCCACATCAGCAAATTCATTAATTATGTTTGACTTCATACATTAAAAAAAATTTGGATGCCTAAAATACCCCTATTTGAATTTTTTTTTTTTTTATATTTATAAACCCTCTTTGAATGTTTGATGTATATAATTAATGCCATGCGGATGGATGGTAAGAGAGAATTAATGATTTTACAAAAACAAAAAAACATTAATGTTATAAATTCATTGCCTAATAAATAATAACATAAAACATGTCTAATATTTGTTATTATACATGCGTAATTAAGTCAATAAAATTATATTTTACATATTAATGTAGGTAAATTATTTTTCACACACACATATATATGCCTAATATATGTAAAATTCATACAAAATAATTTACCTACAAAAAAAAAAAAAAGTACATTTGATTCAAATAGTGCACCTACTATTAAAATTTTAAAATGTTAGATTGCTTAAAAAAACAAAAAAATAATATACCCAGTATACGTAAAATACATGAAAAATAATTTACCTACGTAATAACAAACCCATATATCCAAACTAATTTACCTTATAAATTCATTATTTTATTTTTAAAAGAAACAATGTTTCTACTAGTTTGTTTGTTTTTTTATTTTATTTTTTCCAAAAATAAAGTACCTATTATTCAATTTTTACGAAAATTGTGTACCTATTGTGTAATTTAAATAAACTAATTGTTTAGTTTTTACAAGAAACAATGTATCTACTAGTTTATTTTTACCTTTTTTATTTTATTTTTTATTTTCACAAGTTAATGTATCTACTTTTTCAATAGAATGTATATTGAACTAATTAAATTTGGATTAGGCGATTTCAAATAAAAGAAGAAAAGAACTTTTTTTTCAATTAAATTAAAAGAAAAAAAAACTTAAACTAATTGAATGTTGTTTGTCACATCCCAGCCCGGGCGGGACGACTTCCCAAACCCACTCCACCACCATAGCACGATATTGTCCGCTTTGGGCTTACCATTCCCTCACGGTTTTGTTTTTTGGGAACTCACGAGTAACTTCCCAGTGGGTCACCACTCATGGGATTGCTCTAGCCCTCTTCTCGCTTAACTTCGAAGTTCCTATGGAACCCGAAGCCATTGAGCTCCCAAAGGCCTCGTGCTAGGTAGGGATGAGAATATACATATAAGGATCACTCCCCTGTGTGATATGGGATGTCACAATCCACCTCCCTTAGGGGCCCGACGTCCTCGTCGGCACACACGCGGCCAAGGTTAGGCTCTGATACCAAATTGTCACATCCCGGCCCGGGCGGAACGACTTCTTGGGCCCACTCCACCACCGTAGCACGATATTGTCCGCTTTGGGCTTACCATTCCCTCATGGTTTTGTTTTTTGGGAACTCACGAGCAACTTCCCAGTGGGTCACCCATCATGGGATTGCTCTAGCCCTCTTCTCGCTTAACTTCGAAGTTCCTACGGAACCCGAAGCCAGTGAGCTCCCAAAAGGCCTCGTGCTAGGTAGGGATGAGAATATACATATAAGGATCACTCCCCTGTGTGATGTGGGATGTCACATTGTTGACAAACAAAAGACAATAAATTAAAAGTCTACAAAAAAAAACCGTAACAGCCATATTAATGTTGGTGGCATGGTGTTGTAAATAAATTTAGATGTATGGACATCTTTTATCTTACATAGCATCAAATTCAAAATTTGGATTGTATTGAGATGTTTTAATATAGATGAGTTTATGTCTGGAGTTCAACCGTTGTAAGAAGCAAAATCTAAACACCCCTAATTATATACAACATCCAATTCCATATTACATATTCTCAGCTAAAAGCATCACAAATACAAAACTTTTCACATTGGATCCCATCACCTTAGTCATCGCCTAAAATTTGAAGGAAAATTTTTGAAATAGATCTAATTTTTAGTGACTTTTAACTTTTGAAATATGTTTAATTTTTAATTACTTTGACCCATATCAAAAAAACTCCAAATTTGAATAACCCCAACATCGTGCCTACTGGTGACAGCAGCCTCCTTAGGAACAGTCACATTCGCATTGAGCGGTACATTGCTCATGAACGCCTTGAGCTCCTCAATCCTTGCGTCGTCCGGCAGCTTCATCCTCGTCGTGAAGCTGCCACAGTCGGCATCTGATCTGGAGCACTCGCTCGTCCTCAAGCGAAACAAGCACATCCTCGTTGGAGAATGCCAGCAGAGTTGCCGTGACGACATGGGCGTTTCCGGTCTCTCTCCGGTTGAGTCGGAAGTTTACTGAAGAAAACGGATTGAATTCTCTGAAGATGTTGGAGATCGGGGAAAGGAATGGGAATGGGAAATCTGTGAATGGTTCCCACAGGTCAGCCGAGGGCCAACGAGGGTCGTCGAAGACGGTGGAGCCTTGTCGCTTGTTGATTGGGATGATCGACATCTTTGTTTGGAAAAAACTAGAGGGGAAAGTGAGGAACTCGGACGTTGTTTGTGAAGTGAGACATGGTGGTTGGCGGTTTTGAGTACTGACACGTGGATTGATTGGAAGGAGCTCGCAGGTTCTAGAAAGTAGGTGGGAGTCATTTGGTTGGACAAAATGGTCCATGAAGATTTGATCAAACAAACAAAGAATTTGCGTCAGGAAATCGGACTGAACCGGAGGGAGGTGAGAAATTGGGTTGGAAAATTGAATGAAATGGTGATTCAGACAAGCCGGTTCAATTCTGCCTGGTTTGTTATTTTTGAATTGTGGTGTCAAAATCCGAGAATATACATTTTGTTTGGTGCATCATTTCTGCGTAAATTAGCAACTAAAGTAAAGAGATAATAGATTTCGGAATGATCTTTTGCCATCTCTACAAGTGTTGAATGAAGATCGTGAGCAAACTAATCAACGTAAAACGCACACACATTCTCCTTCAATTCAATTGTAATTCAGTTTAACTGTAAAGCCCTATAATTTTCCGATACAAAACGACATATCATGCCAAATACTAACTGCAAAATGCAGCCTATGGTCATCCATTCAAGTACGTTACTTCTCGACACTAACCTGTAACTCCAATGTTCCGCGGTCATTGTTTCTTGAGCAAGCGGTCATCATCGAACCTGTTAAAGTTAAAGGGATGCAAAGACACATATCTATACTAACAATATCTATATATACTAAAACCCAATCAGGGTGGTACTGTGGATGACCAGTGGGCGAACGATTTTGCCCCTGGCTTTTTCCTCCGGTTATTCTTCTCTTTGGTTTTTGGGGAAGCAAAATGCCACTTTTGCCCATTGCTTCCATGCGTCTATCATTGATGGATCCTCTATTTGGACCGTGTGTTCTCGATTTTTCTTTTGCTTTCCATTTCTTTCTCACATCTTTCTCACAGATCTCTCTTCTGCTATTCTCGGGCTTACTAAATCTCGCCTTCGATTCCAACAAGTGCGATCAATCTTGCCCCTCAATTCCCTTTACCTTTCTGTTGCCTTCTCTCTTTCGCCGTCGATCTCTGCTTCGATCCGTCTTCTCTCTCACAAATCTTTGCTTCTGTCCCCTTCGAACCTTTTCTGGGTAAGCTATATAATTTATGTTTTTGTTGTTAGATTTCTTTTTTTTTTGGGCAGATTTTTAGATTTGTTGTTTTAAGACCCATTAGAACCTATCAGATTGGTTTTTTTATTTTCTCAGGGTGAATATGGTCCTCGCCACCGGAAGATCCACGTCGCACGTCAAGAACATCGCTCAAGCCCTAATTTACAAGGCAGGTTCGAATTTCTTTCTAATTTCAGTTCCTAATTTGTGTTTGGTTGCCGAGAATCAAAGGGAAACGGAAGAGAGTGAAACGCTGAGTTTTATTGCCTACTGACTAGAAAAAAGGAGTGAAATATTGTCTTCTGTTTGGTTGCCTAGAAAATTTGAGGTTGGGGAAAGAGACAAGGGGTGTAAGGAGTGTGGTTGCACATGATCGTTTAAGGTAGAGATTTTGCTTTTTCCCAAAGGCAAAGACTAAAACCTAAACATATAAATTAGGACATGAATTATAGGTAAAGCGCATGCAATAAACTGGCAAAGTCAAAAGCTAATCTAATCTGGACTACCAAAGTCCAAGTTCTTACGAAATGCCTAGCCACATTTTTTAGTCTGGACATCAGATACCAATGGGCAAAAGTACACTAGAATTATTTAAAAAACATGAATTAATAGATTAAGAAAAAGAATGATTTAGGGTGGAATTTGAAGGTGGAGGATTTAGGGAGAGCTCAGATGGTGGTCCATGTAATTTTGATTAATAATTAGTCATCAGAATATGATTATTCAGGATGATTCAATGGATAATCATCATCACACCTCCCCCAATTTGCCTCTTCCAGACTTATTGCACCAAAAAATATTTTAAAAAAAAATTGATATAGAAAAAAATAAAAGAAAATGAGGAATCAGAAAGAGAGTCAATCATCAGGAAGCAGCAAATATGTTGATGCGTGTAAGACTAGGGCGACAGAGCTTCTCATCACTTTCCTTACTATTTCTTAATTAACCCTAATTTATCTGATATGCTTTTGTAATTATTCTATCATTCAACCTAATCGAAAACACAGAAAAACAGAGGAGAATATGGAGAAGCATAGCAAGAGGCCGTGCTTTTATAGGCTCTTAGATTAGGGTTTTGCATTTTTTTCTCAATTTAATTTTTCTTTTTTCCAGTGCGGGCTTCTTATATTTAAGGCCTAGCCGAATTTCACGTGCAAGCTTATATCTTGGGAGATAACCTATTTTCAAAAACAATTTTTCAGAGTACTCAAAAAACTATTACACATTCATCTAAATTATAACACGTGTATTTATGTGCAAAAAAGCCATAAGGATCATGGCATTTCAATTTTTTTTCTTGGTTTTTACTGTTACTTGAAAGCAACATTAGAAGCATGTAATAATTTGGTTACAAAGCATGAGATTAGTTATTTGGAATAGCAAGGTTGTATAAAGAAGTCACTTATCCATAGAATTTTTGTAAGGTAAAAGATGCTTATCAGGGTCAAGAGATTTTAATAGTGTAGCGGAGATCATTAGCATCAATGATTTTCGCAGTTCCATCTTCGGGAAACACCATCTTTTGTATTAATGACTAAATGAGGTTTTAAAAATTTTAGTAGGTGAAGCAATAACGGTTATCATTTTATTTTTCTGGATTCCGAGCACTGATTTTGTTTTCGCAAAACAAGTGGAACCTCTAGGGTTGTAGAAAGTTGCACACATGCTGAAATCATGTCCTGCCTTTTTTTCTCTGTGAAACTCTCTCTGACTTCTATGGATTTCCATCAAAGGTATAGACAAAATAACATTGGGATAATTTTGGGATCCTCTACTTTACACCTCTACGTGCACATTCATTTATTTGTATTCAGAGTGTTGATGATTTAGTCAAAAGGTTAGCTAGTGCATGGTCTAATATGTTTAAATCCTTTTTTTTTACATGAACTTTTGTTATTCTTTTTCGTTTAGTTCATTTCAATTCGTTTTTAAAGTCTGTTGATTAAGAAGTGTAAAAACTGAACAGCTTTTCTGGATGTATTTTATTAGACTTCGGTGGACAAATGTATCTTTGTTGATCAATTTTATCTCTGTGTGATCATTCTCTTTGTGTTATAAATATTCAGGGCTGCAATTTTCTTTCTATCTTTATGATATTAATTTTTTTTTTCTTTTCATGATTGCAGGTTTTTGATAAAATTCACCTTCACATACTGACTAAAAACATATAAAGGCTGTTGGTGATTGGTATAAAGACAAAATAAAAAAGGTATGAATAAAATGTTTGAGATTATATGATTTGATTTGATTTTGTAATGTACAGGATTCTCTTTATATTTTTCAGATTAAATGGGTTTAGGACTGTATTGGTTAAATCTAATTAAATTTTTGGAATTTGCTATGAACAATATCTTGGTTCATTACAGGGTTTGGTGGTTGTACTTTTGAACTGCACAGGGTTGAGAAAGAAAAAAAAAAAAAAAAAGACAATTTTGTTGGCAATCAATATAAAGACAGAATCCAAAAGGTATTCTTGGATGATATCATTTGGTTTCAATTTGTGACCTGTGATTTGCAATATGGATTAATAATCTCAAAAAAAATTATTCGTTATTTTCTTCTTTTCGTATATATTTTTTTTTCCATGATTGATTTTGAATAAATTAACATTTGTTTCTGATGTAAGTGGCAATTTATAATAGATCGTCCCGTGTTTCTTTTTAGGCTTAACTTTTGTTAATTAAAATGTTGTTTCATAACAGGTTTGACCCCAATTTTGTCGTTGCGTTATAACAATGTGATTCTAGCTTGCACAAACTACGAGGTATACTCCAACCTATTTTTTAACCGATATTATACAATCCATGTTTTATTGAAAATTTTGAATATTCTGTGATGGAAAATGTTATGATAAATTGCAAGGTAGAAATTCTATTATGAGTTCTTCAGCTGATTTGGGGCATGTTTCTTTACAATATTTAATTTCATCTGGAAACAAATAGTGTTTAGAATCACCAAGTCATACAAAAAGTATTTTAAATTGTTTTTTAACCAATCTATTGCCAACTTTTCCAGTGGGTTTCTTTTTTTATTTTCCATTATTTTGCAACAAACCAAAGCCTTTCCATGCTCGAGAATTAATTTGTTTTGTTTGATTGTTATGTTATAATACTATATGTGGTTGCAAGTTTGAAAAATGTAGGGAGTCAGATCAGTTATAAACAAATTGGCATGGTTCATCCTAATGCTATATAAGTTAGGTTGCTGATTTGTTCCCTCATTTACTCAAAACACTAATTACCAATGAAGAAAAGAGAAAGCAGAGTAAAAGAAATAATTTTAATCTACAGTCTTGGTTATCAATTGGGTGAATGTAGGCTTCTCTGTCTCTGTAAATTTGTATTGGTTTTCTGTTTTAGGTTGATTTAATTAATGGCGTCTGCTTTTGTTTCAGATTAATTTGGTTGCTACTAACAAAAATTATTTGTGCTTATTGTCTATTTTTTTCTTTTCATGTGTATGTGTAAATATATATATATATATATATATATGTATATATTTTTTTTCCATGATTGATTTTGAATAAATTAACATTTGTTTCTGATGTAAGTGGCAATTTATAATAGATCGTCCCGTGTTTCTTTTTAGGCTTAACTTTTGTTAATTAAAATGTTGTTTCATAACAGGTTTGACCCCAATTTTTTCGTTGCGTTATAACAATGTAATTCTTGCTTGCACAAACTACAAGGTATGCTCCAACCTATTCTTTAACCAACATTATAGAATCCATTTTCTGTTGAAAATTTTGAATATTCTGTGATGGAAAAAGTTATGATAAATTGCAAGGTATAAATTCTTTTATGAGTTCTTCAGCTGATTTGGGGCATGTTTCTTTGCGAGCTTAATTTCATCTGGAAACAAATAGTGTTTAGAATCACCAAGTCGTACAAAAAGTATTTTAAATTGTTTTTTAACCAATCTACTGCCAACTTTTCCAACGGGTTTCTTATTTTATTTTCCATTATTTTGCAAGAAACCAAAGCCTTTCCATGATCAAGAGTTAATGTGTGCTTAAGAATTAATCTGTTTTGTTTGATCATTATGTTATAATACTATATGTGGTTGCAAGTTTGAAAAATGTAAGGAGACAGATCAGTTATAAACGAATTAGCATGGTTCATCCTAATGCTTTATAAGTTAAGTTCCCGATTTCTTTCCTCATTTCTTCATTAGTGATTTGTATTTTCAGTGACTTTTCATTCTTGGGTAATAAGTTTTTGTCAAGAGTAATTGTGTTCAATTCTTTCTTTTTTTTTTTTTTTTTTTAAATTTATGTTCTGTCTAGTTCTGTGTCATGTGATTGGAGTGTCATATGATTAGAGGTTCCAAAAGAGAAACATTACTTCTTTTATTTGGTCAGACGAGGGGTGAGGAAGTTCTGTTCAATTTTGGTTTTTCCGATGGCTTAGGAAGAAATTATGTCACTATTAATATTGCAGGTGTCCAACTTGCAAAAATTACAAGTTATGCTACAATCTATACTTCTTAGGTAGATTTGATTCAAATTGATATATTTCAGTGAGAAAAAAAAAATTATCTTTTCTTTTAGTTAAGAACTCTTAGAACTTCAAATTTGTAAAAGATGTGAATATTAGAACAATGGCAATAGAACCACTTTTATCTTTTCTTTCAGTTAAGAACACTTAGGATTTCAAATTTGTAAAACATGTGAATATTAGAACAATGGCAATACAACCGCCAATCCATATGATTGTAAACAGATTTCAACATATATCTAAATAGTATGACATATCATATGTATTTAGCACTTTTCACATGTTTTATACAGTTTTAAAACCCGCAGCAATGCGCGGGCACCGTTGCTAATTTTAACTAAATAAGGAAAAGTAAAATTGAAGCCCATTCTACGACAACAAATCAGCATTGATTGATAATGTATCCATTAGTTACAATGATATTTGCCATGGACGAGTTTTCATATTTTGAAATCGTTACTTAATAACTTCATGTTTGATATCATCGAGAATGTCTTTCTCAATATAGGCAATCCAACAATCATCTGTCCCTTGATCTTCCATTTGATTGAGTAACCAATTCTTCACAATCCTCATAGCACAAAATGCCCTCTACACTGGAAGATGCAATTGGTAACATGAGTGCTAATGTCAACAGCAAGTAAACTAATGGGTAAACAGTTTCTTGTTTTGTCTCAACCATTTTTTGTGCAAGACCTGCAATACCATTCAATCCTGAAAACTCAATGCTAGAGCGCATGTCCATAATGTACATCTTAAGCTGATTTTCAAGTATCGTCAAGTGCCAAAAAACCCCTTAAAAAAACAGTATCATCAAGTCAAGTGCCAAAAAGTCATTCAGGTATACTGAGCAAGCCGAATCAACTTTTGTTTGCCAAAAGCAGAGAATGAATATCACTTGGATTCATACATGTCACACAAAGAAGCAACTCAATATTCATCTCAGCAAAACAAATATTTAGCTCTTGGAGTTGCATATCAATAACATTACAAAACATCTCAACATGATAATGATGCATATATGAGATCAGAATCCTCTCCTAATCTAAGGATGAGGATCCTCATGACCAAGTGATATGGATCCTTAGATGAAAATCCAACGGTTATAATTATTATAACTTTAAAGGGACCCTCCTGTTTGTAGCCGTTGAATTTTCATCCAACAGCCCACATCCTTTGATCATAAGAATCCTCATTCTTAAATTAAGAGAGGATCCTGATCCGCATATATGTCCCCGCCGAAGTTATTTTATCCCTACATAAAGACTTCATTGTTCATTATTGATTGAAAGATAACAACCACCACTATTACATCACACAATACATAAAGACTTCATTGTTTATTTAAAGTATCTGTTGGCTTTTACAATTTGTCCCGTTGTGAGATTTTTCTTCCGTTAAATCAGACTTTCGTTTGGTGTGTGGAAATGTGAAAAGTTTGTCTCTTTGTGTGATTTAAATATATGTGATAGGAGTGTGTTTATGATGCTTTTAGCTGAGATTAATTTAATATCATATGTAATGTCGAATTGAATGTTGTGTATAATTGACGCATACCAATCAAGAATGTCGGTCAGTACAATTTGATTCGGGATCTTAGTAGACATTTTGGGTTGGGATGTGTTAATAATTAAACTAATGTATAATATCTCACAGTAAAAGAAAATGTAAATCATTACATTTGATATTATCTTTTACATTGTGCAATTAGAATGATAAGCCAAAGGCATTTGCATTTTATCGGAGAGAGAAGGTGAGGATTAGGGAGAAATTTAATTTTAATTCCAACTCTTTTTTTTTTTGGTGGGGCTCCAACATTCCAATTACTCTTGAAGTGCCAAGCTAGGTGTCTAGCGAGTCTTCTCAACCTCACTTTATGAGTGAGTTAAGTGAGCAAATCCCATGCGAGAATGTGTGCGTTAAATGTTTTGAGATATGCAAAAAGTAAAATCATAGTAGTTGCATTGTTAATTTGATGTATTGGGTTTACTTATGCAGTTTTAATTTGGCTAAAAAAAAATTATTTTAAAGGATAGAAATTAGTAAAGATGTGTTAAAAGTAAAAAATTAAAAAAAAAAAAGTGTTGATATCACCACTATTTTAAAAAGATTCATTCAATTTGCATGACTAAACGACCTCAAAATGAATAAATTTTACCTCACCTTTGGGGCTTGTTTCTTTACTTTACTTTTGTAAAAGAAAGCACTTTTACTTTAGTGTGTTTTTAGTAAACGATACTTTAATTTGTTTTATCTTTAATGAGATTAGTTCCTTGACCGAAAACAAAAAAATAAATTTTTGAAGAGATATTTTTATACAATGATAAAAAAAAATGTGCAATTCTAATTAGAACGTTTCTACCGTGAAATGACGTAAATTGTAATGCCACGAAAGAGTGAGGATGGCTCAAGCCATTGTATTGTCGTTTGAAAATTTGGGGTTTGTAAGCAATGCATCCTTTTTTCTTCCACTTTGTCTTTTTCTTGTTGAAGAGAATACAAAATGACAAAACTGAACTCGTCGGGTTTAAGTGAATTTTGACATGGACGTTTGAGAACTAAGCAATTCACTAAAACGACGTCGTTATAGGAGAAAAAGGTAAGGTTTGAGCTTTTCGGATTCTTCTTTGCGATGGTGGCTCTGCAAGTCAGCCAGATACCGGTTTCAAGAAGATTCAGATGCCACAGCTCGAATCCACCGTCAAGACAATCTCCGACACACCGTCTCCATACGCTAGCCTCCGATCTCAGAAGTGGGCTGTCGTTTCCGTGGCTGTCGGAGGGTCACCAAGGACTTGAAGCCCACAAGGCAACATGCGAGACTAATTTGTACTATTCAATTATGAGAAATTTTTGTAGTACGTAATCATAATGAAATTGCAAGAGACGGCAAAAATCGTATACAAATTTTGTAGTACAAAATCATATGGAGAAAACCAAAAACAAGAATTCACAATCTTCAATGTCCAATACATTTTCTCCATCCGGGAAGTTTTCCCCCATTATCGCAGCAGAAATCAACAAAAGCATATATATAAGGACATTTTATCAGGTACTGGTTGGACCACCTTTATTACCTGCCATAAACAGAGAAACAATTCGATATAAGAATCTCATTCCACAAAACTTCTTCAGTCCGGGCCTAAACAAAAAAATCCCGAAGATACATACTTTCATCCAAATCATCCACCGCCATTAACAAAACCACACCCTATATCTTCCTTCAACTAAGATTAAAACAAAAACTAAAACCCTAATCATTCCGAAACATACTTTTGGAATCAGAATATAAAGGAAACATGAAATTATATGATCACACAGAAATGGGCCGGGGATTGGACTTGTGCTCAGAATCGACCTCTTCCTCTTCAGATTGATCACCGAAATGGCGCCGCTTCTCCTCCCCCATCGCTGCTGCTGTGTGTTACGGGCCGGACGCCTCTTAAGAAAAGGACTAAATTCAGAGGTAAACCCACAAATTCCTGATCACAAAATTCCTAATTAATCAAGTTACCAAGGTCCTAAATTCCCAATTACAAAAAATCACACTGATCAAATAATTAGTTTCAGCAACCCACACATTTTTTTTTAAATTTACAAACTTCTACGAAAAAAGGGACGGTGATTTCTCCACCTTTAATCATGTGAGATCTTAAGCATATTTACTCCGGACATAAAAAATAAAAAAAACTAAAAATAAAAACAAAAGCATAAAGTAAAAATACCCAACAGCAAACCGAAGATTTAGCCCTATAAAGCTTTGCTGAACCCCTACCAACAAAATTTGTGAGAGCAAAGCAGCTATCTAATACATGAAACTATGATTAGCAGATGAATTAAAATTAATGATAATCCAAATCATTCAAAACCATTTCCATCCCAAATGCAATCGATTAACAGACACATCTGCTTGGAATTTTAAAGTTGGTATTTATAAACCAAGGGCAAAGAACAAATAATAAATTACTTCACTCTTAACATGCGTAGCTTTATATAACACAAACTACTAACATTAAATAGTTAATTTGTTTAGATCATAGAAAATATCACCATAGTTAAATTAGGGTTTGAGAATTACTGCACCTATTGCTATTGGACTTTGATCAAAAAGGTCAAGGTCAATACAATGCAAATGAAAACCGACTAAAAGCCTCACTACAGATGCAGGAGCATCGTTTTGTTGCCACATGACCCAGGGCAGCCCTGTATTTAAAGACAACGGTCATGCTTGCTGCCCACTTAATATAGGTTTGGGCAACAGCACCGTATGCTTGATCAATGGTTCCATACTCGTTTTCAATCTGGTATAATTGAAACAACAATTAACCCATAGAAAGGTTCTGTTAAGTGCTTCTGGAAAAAGGATTTGTTGGATTGCTTTTCAGCTTGCTTGCTTTGTGGTGATATAGTGCGTGCTTGGGATTTCATGCTTGGTCCAAGAGAATGGAGAAGACTGAAGATAAACAACAGTTGAAAATTAGTAGGTTCACTACCTCAATTTTAATGAAAAATCTTTGTTACAATTGATCACACCAAGACAAAAATAAAGGAAGACTTCTAATCCCAAAAATTAGCAAAAATTCTACCATCCTAAATTCCTAATCCCACTTGACTTCGCTGCCCCACACCCTTGTCCCCTGTCTCCCATTGACTAAAAACACTCCCAAATCACACCAGCTTGCCAAACAAAGCCACTGGCCACATCAAAGATTAGGCACGATTCAGATAACCAAATTCAAATAACAAAGTTCAGATAATGAAATGCAAAGAACACGATACATAAAGTAAAATTCAAGAACATGATTAAGAGAATTTGAACTATACTGTGTTGAAATCTTACCAAAGAGCGATGGTTCCAAGGCGGCAGCAGTCAGGCTAACATGGATTTAATATGAAAATCCTCCCTGCCGAAAATCCTCTCAACTAGATCCCGGCGAACCTCTCCATCCAACCCGTCAACCCTTCTGTCCCTCATCCCTCTCCCTCCCCGAGTCAAAAGCCCATATCCAACCAAAAGACTGAAAACCCGTTCTTACGCCCAGTGTCAATCTTGTAAATAAAGCGAAATTTGGGCTGAAATCAGCCCGGTGGCAAGCTCGTAAATAAAATGAAATGTATCCAAAATTGCACAGTGCCACTGCTCCCCCTACTTTAGGCTAAAGTAAAGTGCTCATTCCTAAATGCAGTGTTTAGAGCCTTTGGTATGCATACTTATTATCTTCAAATCCACTGTAATCCACCAAAATTCTTAACCTAATGAAATTCCACAAAATTTTTAAGTTTTTTAATACACATAAATTTGCATGAACTTTAAAAATGTCAATTAAAATCTTAAGTGACTACACATAAATTTAAATGAATTTTAAAAAGACTACCCAAAATTTTGAATTCTCTTAGGGGGTGTTTGTTTCCCCTCACTAAAGTTCATTGGACTGAACTAGACTAAAGATTACTCCAGTCCCATGCTTGTTTCCTGGCTGGACTAGTTTTAATGGGATTAGCCAGGACTCGCTTTCACTAACAACCTCACTAGCCGTTCTTAGTGTGTCCCCTCGAAAGCCATCGGACTAGCTAAGAACTTCTTCGTCCTGCTCGAATCACCTCCCTGACATCGATTTCGATGGCACAAGCTTTGGGCGCGGCTTCATCTCTGATGAGGAACTCGTCGACTGGGTCATCTCCACCATCTTCTTCTTCTTCACTGCTTCACTATTGCCATGGTTATGGCTTTGAAGCTACTGATTTTGGCTTTGCCTTCGGCTTGCCTCCTCATCGACTGGGTCATCTCCACCATGATTGCTTCGCAATCTTAGTAAATTGATTTTTGTTCTAGGTTTTTGGGTTTTTTTTCTTTCTGGTTTTTAGGTTTTTTTTTCTGGGATTTGCAGGTTTAATTGGTTATTGGAAGGCTTGCCCTTCTTTTTGGAATCTCTAAAGGCTTGGCGAATGGTTAACCAACAAACTCTCTTAATTAAACAAGAAAAGTAAGAGATTGATGCATAATTTGGTAGAGAGAAAATGATGGGGAAGAGAAACGAGGAAGGGTAAAGGAAGGAAGGGAAAATAAAATTTGCTTGGGTCCATTCATTTCTAGACTTCACTGCCCTTTAATTATTATTTTTTGTTAATTATTAAGCCAAAAGTGAATTAAAAATGGCAAATATATATAGTCTGTGACTTAGTCTGACATTGCATCAAACACTTCACTAAGCTAGTCCAACTTAGTCCAACACGACAATTACGTTTGTTGCACCGGACTGTCTTGGACTAGACTAGCTTCAAGGACTAGACTAGCTTCAAGGACTAAGCTGGACTGGCTTGGACTAGACTAAGCTGGACTGGCTTAGTGAAGCGTTTGGTGCAGTGTCGGACTAAAACATAGGATAATAAAAATAAAAATAAAACTCATGATATATAACAAAATATTCATATTATTTGCTTCAACTTCAATTTCAACCACCATTAAAATTTTCAATCAAAATTTTCAACATCCAATTCCTTATTCCAACACCAAAATGCTAAATTTCAAAATACCCAGTTCAAAAATCATCAAAAACCAATCATCCCCCTCTAGTGGAAGAACATATACACTATTTATACCGAACAATTGTCTTGATTGTGTCGCTGATTACATTAAGAAAGCTTCTAACATTCAAGTTAATTCTTGATGCATGACCATAAAATTCCAAAACTTGACAAGAAATGCAATTACAAATTTTCTATCTTTCAAATGAAAAATTGGTACAAATTGCAAATTGGATTTGATAATTCGAAAAATTGGAGATAGAGAATTGGGGGAGGGAGTTGCCAAATGTCATCAGGAAGCCATATTTGACGAGCTCCTCATTCTCGAACTTGTTGAGGCCCCAAAGAAAGCACGAGCTTGGAGGCAAATTGAACTTTGTCTTGATTTTGGGAAAATTGTGCGTTTTTATTTGATACCCTAGAGGAGTAGACGTTTTGAAATTCTAGGTATGCAACATTGCAATTCCTAATTCGTCTTGATTCTGGGAAATTTGATGTTCGCTGGGACTTAAAAATCGTGAGAGAGATGGAAAGCTTAGATATTCTTGGATGTAAGGCGATAACTTCATGGCGTTTGGCGGTCTAGAGGAGGATACAGTGGTTAGTGGAGCTGTTTCTGGAGCTGCAGGCACGATGTTCGGTGGTGCAAGAGCTAGAGCTGCTGAATCGATTGATTGCAAGCCCAGGAAGAAGTAAAGCTTAATGGTAGCGGGTTGAGGATCTAAGGAAGATGAAGAGAGCTGAGGAAATCGAAGAGAGGAAAACGCAGACGAAGCTGAGAAAGCTAAGGGATGGTCTTAGCAATCCCACATTTCTTGGGCGGTCTCACTAAGAGCTTTTAGTGAAGGAGTTAGTCGAGGCGAATCTGGCGTAATCCCATTAAACATGGTCCTTACACCTGCCAAATATTGGTGTCTAGTCCAGTGAAGAATGTTCAAATTCCAACATGGTCCAAGTAGCATTTATGAAGAACGTTTAGATTCCCAACAATAGGCTTGACCACCAGAGAGAAAAGCCTCAGCTTAACAATGGTGAGAATCTAATTCAGCACAATATCATGACAACTCCTAGAGTTCTTGAAGATCCGATTGTTCATTTCATTCCATAAACCGTAAACAGTAGTAGCCAAATACAACTTTTTCACTGTAAAAGCTAACAAATTTCCTTTCCAATGAAAAGTTGCCCAATCTAAGTACAGAGGTCATGGAGAATTTAACAAAGGCACGTCACAAGCACCTAAAACAACGTGCCAAATCTACATAGTAAAAGGGTCGCTGAATAAAAAGATGAGCATGAGATTAAAACCCACTCCCATAAGAGCAAGAAGGATTTACCTCGATCATGCGTAGAAAATTTGCCCTTAATAGCTAGCCATAAAACGAAGCTAGCTCTAGGAATACATTGACCGTGCCAAACCAAACTAGACCAAGCCACCGTAGGACCCGAAGGTCAACCTTGTCAATCATAAATCGACCAACTCCACTTATTATCAATCACAAATCGAACTAAGCAGAGCACCATTTGGGATGCCAAAATTGATAATAAATTAATTGTCGAATATCAAACTAAGAAGGCCATGGGGTGTCAATTGTCATGCCAAAAAAATTGTAGAGTTTCCATCACCACTAGCTTGCCGTTAACTAAAACTGAAAACTTAGGACTACTCACACAACAACAAATTCAATTAATCATGGAAGTTGGAAATCTGAAAGAGTGTCTAATTCCCAATCCAGAGTATCATAAGCCTTCATAATGTCCACCATGTGAAGTACTCCCTTATAGCTACACAAATCTTAAGGGCAATGGAAGCACAAAGTACGATCCGCAGATTAGTGCTGGTTCCATGCCCATTCTAAGGGCACACTCTGATACTTCAACTAGGTGCTATCCCTCACTCCGAGGGCTTCTACATCACAGTCCCTTACACCAACTTCAACTTTCCTTCGAACTACCCTAATTTCGATTTCTTAGAGATGTATGATAGCTTATATGAGCAAAATATCTCGTCCCATAATTTTATTGCTGCAATATTAGGCTTTAATGTCTAACTGCAAATCCCCACTCCAAGATTTCATGCATCATCTATGATAAGTACAGAAGAGATGGCTAATCATCTAGGGTTACCTAGCATTATATTGACTACTAGCAGTGCAGCAAATTCCTAGAAGATGGTTACTTTCCAATTCAAGGTAACAATCAGACATCTCAAATTTTTTGAATTCTGTCTTGACATATTAACTATAAGATGTAAATGCATCAAATTGATCAATTGATTGATTGATTTTAACCTTTTTACGGGAAATAAGACTCGATGACTTTATGGTTTTTATAACTTTTGCAATTGTCTACACTAACCTTAAGATCTCTGATGCTTGACCATTCTGAGTACAAATTCTATAATGCTGGAACTGGCACTAGGACTCCAACCACTAAGATGTTAGAGGTTTGGACCGCTTACTGCAACTACTAGTGAAAGCATATGATTTGAGGTCATCTTCAACGGTCATTTGGAACATTGGGATGGCTTTGAACAATCATCGCTGGCATGGCTTCAAAAAGAGTACCAAATTCTGTTGTTTCTTACCGATCCTCTGCATAAAACAGTTCCATCGCCGTTTACAAGCTTGTTGAAGTAGGACCAGAGTTGTATGTCATGGCTCCATAAACAAGTACACAACTCTGTCATCTATGTAAGCCTAGGAAGCACAGCATTTATGGACAGTAAAAACTAGCTGAAATGGCATGAGGTCTGGCCAACAACAAACAGCCCTTCTTGGGGTGGTTTGGATGACAAACAGTTATTTGGAGCACTCGCTCATCCTCAAGTGAAACGAGCACATCCTCGTTGCATATCGTCGGCAGCACCTCCTTGAGGATGTTGGAGTTCGGGTCTCTCGCTGCTGTAAGCAAAGTAACGAACGTAAAATGCACACACTCGTTCTCCTTCATTATAAGTGCCTTAATACTATTCAACTCACCAAGAATATTACTTGTCCCACGATAACCCTGCCCCCTAGCTTAATCTATGGGTAGAAAAGAAATAATCAATAGCCACCTTAAGTGAGTCAACAGTATTATCAATGGCTTGTACAACACATAAAAAAGGCTTGATCACATTATGTTTATCCATAAAACGTATTACAATAGCCAATTGCTTCATTGAAGACATGTCATGAAGCTCATTGATAAGAATAGAAAAGTACGAACCACCAATATCTTTAACGATTGCTTTGATATTTCCATTGAAAAAGCAATTATGATGTCCTTCTGAGTATCAGTTAAAGTCATTTTCAGACTTAAGGGAGGATTTCTCAATGTGATAACTTTTAACTCCTCGTGATGACCACACCGGAAGTTCCGGAGTCCAAGAAAAACTCCTTCGTTGTTTGAACCTTCATATTCATCGTCTCCACAATATATAAGCCCTTGGTGCAAAAGACACTGCATACAAACAATTGATACATTCCTTTCTTGCTTGGTGTTGCTTTAATAAAGCATCATAGGTTCTCTAAGCTTGGTTGAGGGTGTTGAGAATCAATGTCATTTGTAGGTGAAGTAAGTGTGTGAGGTTGGTGAAGTAAGTGTGTGAGGTTGGTGAAGTAGGTGGATGTTGTAGGTGAAGTAAGTGTGTGGTGTAGCTTTCATTTGGTTTGCTATAAATACCCAAGTCCCCAAGCATTGTATATCATCCAAGGAAAAACAAAGCCTAGAGCTAAATAAGAAAAGCTTTGCTAATTAGTTTGTTTTGTGAGCTTTCTTTAAGAGTGTGCTCTATTTTCTTCTTCTTGGGATCATTAGAGTTATCTTGGATACTCTTCTTATTCAACAATTGGTATCTAGAGCCAAGTCGGTCAGGGATCGTTCTTGGTAGAGCATTGGTTGTAAAGTCTCTTGAAATTCCGAGTATGCTCTGTGGTTGCAGTTTTGACTGATCTCCCACATCAGAAAAAATTTCTTGAGATTATTGCTGGGGTTATCACAAACCTTGAGAGGGAGCTTATTTGTGTCGAGAGTAGTGTATTACTCTGCACGGTAATCACTCAAGCTTGTTCGGTGTAGTCAAAGTCTTGCCGATACGATGGGTGATCTTCAAGTTGTTGGAGG